CCAAATAAGACACTTATTTCCTATGGTTGTAAAGAACCTTTGGACATTATGGGCTCTTTTGATGCAGACATTTCAGTCAGTAGTAATAAAAGTATAAAATGTACTGTTTATGTCATCAGAAACGGTACACGTGATCTATTGGGCAAAGAGACTGCGATCCAATTAGGCGTACTCAAAATTGGTCTTCAAATTAATGCTGTCCGCAATGATGCACATTTAGAAAAGGCTTTTCCGAAGTTCAAAGGAGTGACTGTCCAGATTCCAATAGACCATACAGTTAAACCAGTCATTCAACCATACAGAAGGGTTCCCATCCCTTTAGAAGAAAAGGTGGCTAGAAAATTAAAGGAACTCAAGGAAGCAGACATAATTGAGGAAGTTAATAAACCTTCACCGTGGGTATCCCCGATGGTTCCAGTTCTCAAAGAAGGACAAGAAGAGGTACGTATTTGCATAGACATGAGAAGAGCTAATCAAGCAATCATCAGAGAAAATCATCCCCTTCCTACGATGAATGAACTACTACCTAATTTTCGGCAAGCAAAATTTTTCTCAAAACTCGACATTAGAAATGCTTTTCATCAACTCGAAATTCATGAAGATTGTCGATATATCACTACATTCAGTACTAGCAAAGGGCTTTACAGGTACAAAAGGCTAATGTTTGGGATTTCTTGTGCACCTGAAATGTTCCAAAAAATTTTAGAAAAAATGTTGTTAGGTTGCGAAGGTACATTAAATTTTATCGACGATATTATTATACATGGTGCTACCGAAAAAGAACATGATGAAAGGTTAAGTAAGGTGCTACGAGTTTTAGAGGAAAATAACGTTTTATTAAATAAAAAGAAATGCATTTATAAAACTCAAACAATTGAATTTCTTGGTCATGTACTTTCCTCTAAGGGCATTAGGCCACTTGAAAAATATTTGACAGCAATTAAAACTAGTAGAATACCAAATACTACTGACGAAATTCAAAGCTTTTTAGGGTTGGTTAACTTTATAAGTAAATGGATTCCTAACGTAGCTACCCTTACTGAACCTTTACGAGAACTATTACGGCTAGGGCTTGGAAAATCAGCAAACATCAAAAAATTTTGGACATTCAAACAAGATGAGGCGTTTGAAGCTCTAAAACAAAGCATTTCCAATATTAAAACTTTAGGTTATTACAATCCTTCCGACAAAACCCAGGTTATCGCTGATGCCTCTCCTGTGGGGTTAGGCGCAGTGTTGGTCCAGGTTGGCAAAGATGGCTCCCGTGTGATCGCTTTTGGTCACAAGTCTCTTACTGATTGTGAAAAGAGATATTGCCAAACGGAAAAAGAAGCTTTAGCGCTCGTCTGGGCAGTGGAGCATTTTAAAATTTACCTATTGGGCAAAGACTTCGAACTAATAAGCGATCACAAGCCATTGGAAACCATTTTTGGACGAAGTTCTAAACCATGCGCCAGAATAGAACGGTGGGTCCTCAGGTTACAGGCGTTCAGGTATAAAGTCGTTTACAAACCAGGTAAATTAAATATAGCTGACACAATTTCCAGACTTTGCAAAACTTCTTCGTCAGAACCATTTGACTCTGAAAATTATATTAACCAAATAGTAAGTTACAGCAGGCCCGTCGCGGTTCCATTAAAAGAAATTGAAACATATTCTGTGGGAGACGAGGAAATTTTGAAAGTCAAAGAAGGTATTTTTAACAATGAGTGGCACGATTCTATTGACTATTATAAAAATATACGAAATGAACTATGTTTTAATGGGAGTATTCTTCTTCGCGGAACTAGGATAGTTATACCCAGTAGTCTCCGTCAACGAGTACTGGAAGCGGCTCATGAAGGCCACCCAGGCATAGTGGCGATGAAGGCTCGTCTTAGAACTAAGGTGTGGTGGCCTAGAATTGATAAAGATGCTGAACGCCTAGTAAAAGCTTGTCGAGGCTGTACACTTGTATCTAATCCTACTCCACCACACCCAATGAAGAGACGAACACTTCCCGCAGAACCTTGGGTTGATGTGGCGATGGATTTCTTGGGACCGCTTCCTAGTCATGATTACCTGTTGATTGTTGTTGATTACTATAGTAGATATAAGGAAATTAAAATAATGCGCAGTACCACTTCTCTGGATACGATAAAAGTCTTGAAGGAAATGTTTTCTAGATTAGGTTACCCAGCAACTTTGACGTGTGATAATGGTAATCAGTTCACAAGCGAGGTCTTTCAGAAATATTGTAAGGAATGTGGTATCATTTTGTACAATACTGTCCCATATTGGCCTCAAATGAATGGGGAAGTTGAAAGGCAAAACCGGGATGTCTTGAAACGACTCAAAATTTGCCAAACTGAAAATGGGAACTGGAAAGAGGACATTTTTAATTATTTGATGATGTATAATAGTACTCCACACTCTGTTACAGGTAAATCTCCTTCAGAATTATTTTATAAAAGACAGTTTAGAGACAAGATTCCGGCAGCACCAGACTTGGAATACAAAACAATAGATGAAGAAGTGAGAGACAGAGACCTACAAATGAAAGAAAAAGGAAAAGAGTATGGGGATCTTAAAAGGAAAGCGAAAGATAGCAACTGCGAAATAGGGGAGAAAGTACTGGTAAAAAATGTAATAAAAAATAATAAGTTGACCTCGAACTTCAATCCCGTTACCCATACAATAACAGACGTAAATGGTGGCGATATTAGTGTTCGAAATGATGAAACCGGGAAAGAATACCGACGTAACATAGTTCACTTAAAGAAAGTAAATGATTCATGGACTGTAGTTGGTAATAATAATAATGATGATGATTTAGACAGACATGATGATCTTTATTAAATTAAACTATGTTAATTAATTATGAAATTATTGTATACTGTTATGTTATTAAATACGCTTCTATATGATTGTTGTTATGTTATACCAATTTAAAATTAAGTCAAATCAAGTTGTTTTGTTTTGCACCAAATTTGTATCAATTATACTTACTTAAGCTATTATTTTATAAGGTATTAAGTTGTAAGGTATACGAACTCTTATTGGAACTATGTATTTAATTAAATAAATATAAATAAAGAAGGGATGTAGTGTATGCGCTAGCGCCGGCGCGTAAGCAGTCGTGCTACAACCGTGGCCGTGAGCGTGCGAGTTTAGTGCTTCGCATATACTGGATTCACTCTAGTCTAAAAGTGTGTTTTATTTGCAACTGAGTCAGTATAAGCACTACTAGGCTGATGATGATGATGATGATGAAATTATAAAACAAAACACCAAACATACGTAACGACAACATTTTAACAAAACAAACCTTACTTCTTAATCTAACCGCGATTTTCTTTTAACCAGTTCCAGACAGCAAGATAATTACCAACCATTGTACAAGTAGGTACAACAGACCCCTACCTATTTTATCGTTACCATTGTAAATAGAACCTTTTGCAGGGTTATTGATGGTCTTAAGTAATTAAGTCTGGACGTCTCTAGAGAACTTGGTCTTGGAGTTGGGCCTAATAAAATTAATTAGGCTATATATTATATGAGTTTAGTGTAGTGTTCTTGTAACTGGAGTAGACGTTTAGTGTGTTGTAATGTTAGGGAATCATTGTTGTTTTTATATCAGGGGACTGGGCTTTGAAAGTTTATGTCTTTTTAGTACCTATGTTTGTCATTTTATTTAGTAAGACATGATTCTAAATTTGAGGTGTCTTAACATTATCTTTATTAATGGCAAGGGATAAGCGTTTCAAAGGGGAAGGATCGGGGCTCACACACACGGCGAAATACAACGCTATGGTTGTGTCACGCCGGTTTTATGTGAGGCTTTTTTTGCGGGGGGAGTGTGAGACTCTTACTGACTAAAAACCTCCCCGTTCCTTCTTCTGCTCCGGGTCGAGGTCGCGGTGGTATCACTCCCATCCAGTGGATCCATTCGTGCCGAAGCATCGCTCTCCTACCCTGAAATATAATATTATTCGTATTATATTTGACTACCGTTAACATCAGTACCAGAAACCACTTTTTACTTACAAATAAAAACTAATTCAAAAATCGAAATGGACTGCGATAAACGAAAACAAAAGAGTCTTAATACAATACGAGATATTTCCATTAACTCCACCTGGCCGGCTTAAAGCGTTTCCCAAACACTTACCTAACTGCTCAAAATTTAATTATAGTCTTCCTTAATTCCAGTGTTCTTGTATCTAAGGAATTAATTATGTAATAATTAAAAGGTTCAACGTTATTAAAGGTTATAATGGCTTGACTGTTATTGGTTTATAACTTGAAGCAAATAAAACTGGTGTAAGAGGCATACAATAGAATGTTTATGGGATTTTTAACACAAGAGTCAAAGATAACGTAGCTGATGTATTTCATCATATTCAAATATATCCGGTACTTATAAACCGGGTTACCTTATAAATTTTTGTGCTTTCAAACTAAGCAAGGTTTTCATAGGTCATTTTAATTGGAACAAAAATATTCACCAAAACTTGTTGAAAAGAAGGACTTACTCTAGTGAATCAATGATTGAGAAATGCGACGTCGCGCAGTCGACTGAATCAGTCAAGTTGATTTGAAACTTGTAGAGCTTTTATTCGTTTATTCACGTGATAAGTTTGTCCTTTTTGAATTTTTCTTTTCGAAATAAACGTTGCCCCACACTAGGATTTGCTCCTGTGTCGTGAGTGCGTTTACACACATATGACACCTAGACTAGAATCATTATCTTCTGGATTAACAAAGATTACGTGAGAGAATCGAAACAGTGATACGTTGTGCTGCAATCAGTCGCCTAGCCAACCGTGTAATCTTAATCCTATGAAAGCTACCATACCAAAATAAAAACCCATCAGCCTCTTTATTCAGAGCAGGAGAAGGAACAGGGGGGGTTTTAGTCAGTAAAAGTCTGACATTCCCTCCCACCTCCTCACAAAAAAAATCAGCCTCTTTATTGATAAAAATCTATTAATCAGTCTAATCCCCATCATTGTTCACAGGTCCATCATCATCGATACCAACATCATCATCGTCATCAGTAAAGCCGGATCAGAATGAGCTGACAGTCACCTTCCCTCCACTTGATGACCTATACAGCAATACTCCGGAAAAGCATTTTGGAACTGAAAACAATACTGTGGTGACGTCACAGACAGGATCAACTGCATTGCTGCCCTGTGTCATCAGGAATATTGGAGATGGAATTGTAAGTACTGACTTTGATTTTTTTCCTTAGAAAGATAACCTCAATAAACTCCTGAGTGAGATAAGACCAAGTCTTCTAGATTAATATTATAAAGAGGAAAAAGTGAGTTTGTAGGTAGGGGATAATCTTTGGAACCGCTGGTCGGATTGCCAAAAATCTTTCACTGATAGATAGCTACAATGTTCCTGAGTGGTATAGGCTATAAAACATCACGCTACGAGTAAATGAAGCCGAGCAGCGGGTGAAACCGAGCGGGAGCAGCTAGTCACTATATAAAATTCAGAATCTTTATCTATTTAGACTCGATAAACTTTCGATTTCGTTTGATGTACTTATCAGATGGCTTGAATGCGTTTATAAATCTCAACGCACGTTTTAATAATATAATGTCAGTTTTATCTGACAGATTCATCTACAACGTGATCTTTAAAGAAAAGAGGCGCTCGTTTTCCACTATCTTTGGCACTTTTTATAATATTACAAATAATATATCTGTTTGAAAGTCCTTCGTGATACCTACTTATCAAAATGTATATTAGATAGATAGAAAGTTATGTTAATGTCCAGCTAGGGTTATCAATGTATGCGCGATGATCTACCGAGGCTAGGTCTGGATTTTTCCCGGAGCAGTAGATGAAACGGGCTAGTATAAAAATATTGGGTTAACATTCCCTTTTACTTTTCATTGATCATTCATTTGATAATTTACCCCCTCCAAAAATGGGTACGAAAATATGATGGGTGCTATTAACATGTGTGTCTTGTAATGGTCATATAAAAATTATTGATATAATTAATAAATGACTGCACGGTTGGTGCAGTGGCTGGGCAACTGGCTGCTGTGCAACGTGTCGCGGGTTCGATTCCCGCACGGAACAGCACTTTGTGTGATCCACAAATTGTTGTTTCGGGTCTGGGTGTGTTGTGTATGTGAATTTGTATGTTTGTAAACGTACCCACGACAAAGGGGAAAATCCTAGTGTGGGGCAACGTTTATATAATAAAACAAAAAGATATATACATAAATAGTATGAAAGGTCATATAATATGCGTGTGGATTGTTTTAATGCAACCATGCGCATTAGAGCGACTTCGATAGATGGCCGGATGGGAGGCAACGGTAATAGTCTTCTTGTAATAGTAGTAGTAACCATGGAGTTTCTTGCTCGTTCTTCTCCATCGTGATCTACACTTTGGAACGAGGAAATAGCTTCACTAAAAGAACTGACCGACAGACTGACACTTCATATCTTTAAATTTTGTTTGACGATCAAAATGCCTGTAAGGGTCGAATTGAAATAAATTATTTTTTACTTTGACTTTTGACTTGCCGTCATCGTCGACAGTTTGGACGGGCCGTTTTTGCGACATTAGGGAAACCTGCATGTACCCGCTGGTGTACTAAATATGTACTAATACAATACATAGTAAGATATCTGACGATTTTATAATCTTAATGTTAATAATTTAAGGTTAATATTTTTTATATATTTTCCATTTGTATTTGTATTCGAACATAATGAGTCCATTGTTGCTTGAATCAATAAATGAATTGAATTGAATAAACAGAACACTGTGATTGTTTCATGTCGGTTTTATGTGGCGCCGTAGTATCACTCCGGTCGAGCCGATTCATTCATGCCAAAGCAGAATAACGGATAGAAATCGTAGAATAATGAAAAAAAAATTGAGCAGTAGAGACATTTTCACGATTTCGGGCCTCCAATCTAAAACTATCAATCTAACTTATCAAAAGCATTCCTAAAATGTATTAAAAACACCACAACTAACGCAGTTACAAAAACGAATGCTCCAAAACTTTTAAATCCAATTAACCAGGACGATTGATCAAGAAAAACGTAATTCCAAGTTTTGGGAAATGAAAATTTTTATTCTCAGAAAACTTAATCACACTTATCTGGACCGCAGCGGGCTTATTACCAGCTAAACTAATGAGTTAGCTATATATAACCGCCGCACCGAGCTTAGCTTCAACCTCATAAATTTTCTACATTTTACATACCAAAATTTTCCCGAGAGAACTGTTAAAATTGTTTTTTTTTTTGTTTTTTTTTTTTAACTGGTAGTGGAATAGACAAGTCAATTTATATAATGGAACTGTATTAAGAAATTCTATTTGATTGAAAGCTTTTGAGTTTTTTTGATGATAAGCAATAGCCGTTGCTGCGTTTGCGATTGCCGACCTTTTGCGGATTAGGGTTTCGGAGATTTTGGGATTGGGTGAGAGGAAGAATCGTCTTTCGTATAACTTTCACACGTCGAAAATGTGTGGTTTACGTGGTTGTGGCTATTTTACGATGATTTTCTGTGAGGCCGTGGCATTGCTCTGGTCCTGCCTTATGCCTGGTTCTCCTACACTCATACTCCCATAGGTTATCTCAATACATTTTATTATTCATTTTTGAAAACGTTGACTCATATTTCGACTTTCTTCTTTGTCGTGGGTGCGTTTACAAACATGATCTCCACATACCAACCACCCAGACACGAAACAACAATTTTTGGATTACACAAAGTGTTGTTTCGTGCGGGAACAACGCGTAAACTGTGTCGTAAATTTTGTATTATTAATACAAACTAAATATTTCAAAACACTATTAGAACAGACCAATGAAAATGCCTATAGCTTTAGGTATACCGGTAATAATAGTTAGTATTAGTTGCTCATTAACGTAAATATTTAATTTTGATTAAAACCGTTTCTAAACATGGGCTTTGGCTTTCAATAAACGGTCTTTCTAATTATTCAACAATTTTGCAGACAAAATATTATGAATAGAAATAACCTAAAATTATATTACAGTTGTGTGGATTACAAAGTTGAAATTATTACCAAAATAAAAGAATTAAATGTATAATTATCAGTATTTTCCCCGTGTGATTGTGCATGGTGATAATGAGGCAGACTAATTTCCTAATAATTCCATTAATATAATTAATATGATTAAATTAAATAATGTCAGACACTTACTAACTTAACTTACCCTCTCCCTGTTTCTTCTCCTGCTATGGGCCAATGCCGCGGTATCTTATTGCACTTGCTCCGTAACCCCGGCTGATCATCCTCCAGTCCTAATAGGACCCCGTCTGCGGTGGTCTATGGGCTCTTTGAGGCAGAACGCTATGCGCCATACGCTCGGGTCTGGTTTAATTCGGGAGACGAGCTACTCTTGCGCCCGAAGTGTCGCCTACTACGGCGGCTGGGGCGTAAGGAGGCTAGTTCTCTCACGCGTTCCACCTCCTCCTCTGCGAGCATGACTACTTCGCTGAAAGAGAATGGTTACTTTTCAGTTACTCTCACTCCGCACCATGGCTCCTAATAATTGTAGACAACACCGCGTTTAATAGTAGTCTGAAAAATAAGTTTAAATGAGACAACCTTCTGAGAATTTGCTAAACAAAATAAAGAAGAAAACACATTTTTAAATTTTATATTTTGAAAACCAACATAAAAATTGCAAAGCAATACTATTTTAGTGCTCAATCAATTTTAATTATAAAAACTAGACATTAATCATTGTAAAAGAAGTTCTTTTATCTTTTCTTTTAGGTTTCAAATTCCCTTGAAACACGTCAGGCAATACGAGTCAGATTTAACAAATGATAGCAATTTTAATCACGTTTTTTATTTATTTCAAAGCGATTATATTTTAAAAATGTAAAAGAAAATATATGACCTTGAGCTTAAAATCGATTTAGGGCCAATTTTAATAACATATCTATCAATCCGTTGTTTTTTTTAATAGGTCGGCAAACGAGCAGACGGACTAACAGATGGTAAGCAATCAGCCTGCCACACCTGCAACAACGCAGGGATTACGAGTGTGTTACCGACCTTTTTGGATAAGGATTTGAAATATTTAGGGATTGGAGAAGGATTAGACAGATGGAAAGGGCCTCCAGTAGGAAACCTTGTTCACACGGCGAAACCCAACGCTGCGGTTGTTCCACGCCAGTTGCTGGTCCATTCATGCCAAAATATGACTCTCCCAAACTTAGCAGGACTGTCCAAAACTTGGATTTGGCTTAATTTTTGACATAAATTTCGTACCAGAATGTTGACATTTTAATATGGGTCGCCATACGTCCTCCTTCAAGATCTCCAATAGTCCTCAGATCACCACAGTTAAGCCCCATGTCCAAGCGTGGTTACAGGTACTCAGAGTAAGAGAATGGACAGGGTAATTTCGAAAGGCTGGCAATGCATTAACAACATCTCTAAGGTTTTTTATTATAACTTTCGTGAGACATTCTAAATTAATTATTATGTTTTCGGCTTAATCACGTAATAATTTGACGAGATACTCGACTAGTTTCACTACGCGTGCTACTGGGTAGCAGCGCGGCATGGCTTGAAACTAGTAAAGTATCTCGTCAAATTGTTAAGTAAGTAAGCCGAAAACATAATAATTTATCTCTAAGGTTACCGATGTAAATGGGCAGCGCAGATTGCTTACCATCGGATAATCCGTTAGCTTGTCTGCCTCCGTATGACAAAAAAAAAACTACCATTTTCGTTTGATTTGGAAAAGTACTCAACTTGTATATATGAATGATCAAACATGCAGTATATACCTACAGTAGTCCAGTCAGTGTAATCTATAATGAGTAGCGACGCGTTCACACGCGCCAGGAGATGTCAGGTCGGCTCAGCGAGTGGATAATCTTGTTAACACTTGATATACACATGGATGGTTGTAGCTTGTATCTGTAGTAGGTTTATTATTTGGACTGTCAGTAGTTATATAAATGGACAAGTGTTATTTGCATTTTGTTTTCCAAACTGCCCTAAACTTGGCTTATAATTAAGAATAATTATTTTGACAGACGATCTGATTAGGTCGCAGGAAACCACTGGATGCAGGTCGCTTCCAACCGGCTTATCTGGAAGTCAATGGGAAAGGGGTATGTCTGCAGTGGAGGTCTTATGGCTGATATGAGGATGATGATGATTTGCATATTTTTAGAGGCTGTTTTTC